TGTAGAATTGACCTGTTGTGACCCTTTTGTCTTACTACAAATAGCTCTGCTATTTCTAATGGTTCCCCACCTATGTCCTTGCTTCATTGTTCTACCTCACCATTTGAGATCATTCAAGGTCAGGTACTGCCAAAAAAAATGGGTAATTTTTTTAAGTCACATCGTTGTCCTTCCTTGTCACCACTTAAGTCAGTGTTTCTCAACCTTGGTAGCTTGAAGATGGGTGGACTTCAACTCACAGAATCCCCCAGCCAGCACTGCTGGCTGGGGGATTCTGGGAGTTGAAGTCCACCCATCTTCAAGCTTCTAAGGTTGAGAAACACTGACTTAAATGATGTTCTCCTGGCCCATTCCTTCTTTTTATTCATTTTAGACCAGTGTTTCTCAAACTTGGGAGTTTGAAGATGTATGGGCTTCTACTCCAAGAATTCCCCAGCTATGCATAGCATGTACTCCAAGAGCGTATGCACCAAGACAAATTCCTTCTGTGTCCAATCACACTTGGCCAATAAAAAATTCTGTTCTGTTCTATAGCATAGCTGGCTGGGAAATTCTGGGAGTCGAAGTCCACACATCTTCAAACTGCCAAGTTTGAGAAACACTTGCTTTAGATCAATTCTTCGACTCTTCTATCTAATCTTCTTTTCCACTCCTAATTCTAGAGGGCAGTTCCATCTTGGAGAGCTAATCTCTTTGATTTTCCCTCCTTCTTGTTCTCCTTGCCAAAGGTCTGAGCACCCAAGATAGCAATTCACATAGCATCTGAACACTTATTGCTTAACCTGTCCATCTCTACGTTTTCTATCAACCTTGGCCAGAGAGGAGGAGGAGGAAGAGGATGTGGAGATGGTGGGGGTGCAGGAGTAGAGGAGGAGGAAGGAAGAGCCTCCAAGAATGAGGCTCTTGAAATAAGGCAGTGATAAAACGATGGCTTAGAAGTTTATTTTTCTTTGGAGGTATGCCCTGCACAGTTTTTCCAAAAGGAAAAACATATGCATTGATCTGAACATTGGTATTCCAATCTAGAAGAGATTGCCACAAAGAAAAATGAGTTCAAAAAAGGGACCTGGAAAGTAGAATATGGTTCTCGTGAAAAGATAGCAAATTGACATTTATTTAATGAACCTTAATTGCTGTTGCTGTTGTTTTTATTGCTAAGGAAAACAATCTATCAGTTATAGAACATCTTATAATAAATGCCAACCTAACTTTATCCTTTCTGGCTAAGGGACCTAGAATGACTCATGGATGCTGCTTTATGAAAGTAGTCATTAAAACACAGTTTCTTATCTTACACCTGAACTTTGAAGAACAGGAAGATACATGTCGTTCCAGCTAAAGGGAGACTGAGCTCATGTGCTTGGCTGCAGGTCCATCCACATATCCACGATGAGCTGTTTCTTCCTGTCCTTGAAATAGAAAGGAAGGTACTTTAGAGAGTGAAGAACCCACACTTACTTTTTATGTGATGAGGTGAGAAAATAACTCAGTTTGCCTTCAAGGGAGTAGTTGATTTTCCAATGCTGGGAAGAAGCAGCTTCTTTTCGCTTACGGATCTCTAACCAAAGAGGATTGGATGGGATCACTGGTGCACTCTGAGCTTGTTGGTTTTCTTGCAAACGTTTTATTACCAAACTAGGTAACATCATCAAGTTTAAGATGTGAAGTCTTCAACTCTGATAATGTTACCTCGTTTGGTAAATGAAACATCTGCAAGAAAACAATTAAGCTCAGAGAGCACTGAGGATCACACAGTTTAACCCTGAGCTACAAGCAGTAGTGGGTTTCACTTACCTTCACTACTGGTTCGGAACTGTGAGGTGTACGCATGTGCTCGCTCGCTTCACTCGTGCACAGTGCTTCTGCACATGCACAGAGCATCCGTGATGACGTCCAGGTGGGTGGGCGGAGCCTCCTGCTGCTACCGCCACTACCGGTTCACCCAAACTGGGGTGAACCGGTAGAAACCCACCACTGGATACCAGTATTCTCTTCCATTAGAATTGGAGGAGAGTGAAATCACAATTCAACTCAAAAAGAGAAGAATGCAAGGATCAAAAAGGTTTAAGTAGCTGAAAGAAGAACACAGAGCGCTCCATGGCTTAGGACCGGGGTACCTACGAGACCGCCTTCTGCCACCAGTAGCCTCTCACTGACCAGTATGCTCCCATAGAGAGGGGCTTCTCAGGGTGCTGTCAGTCAAACAGTGTCGACTGGTGGCCCCCAGGGGGAGAGCCTTCTCTGTGGGGGCACCTGCCATCTGGAACGAGCTCCCCCTGGAGATACGGAGGATCCCGGATCTGCGCACTTTCCACCGTGCCCTCAAAACATTCCTATTCCAGCAGGCTGGTCTGGCCTAACTTCCCTTTTAAATTGCTATTTTTAAATTTGTCTTATAAATTGGGGTGTTTTAAATTTGTTTTGGGCCAAAGTATTTAATGTATTTTAAATGGCTTTTAACGTTTGTACTATGTGTATTTTATCTTTTGGCTGTTCACCGCCCTGAGTCCTTTGGGAGTAGGGCGGTATATAAATTTAATAAATAATAATAATAATAATAATAAATAATAATAAACACACCAAACTGGGAATGTGGCATTATAATTCCAGATTTAATTGTATAAATCTCTAAACAAGACATGCGTAGTTACAGAACATCAGCTCCTTTGCTCTCAGTCAACAACAACAAGAAGAAGATTTGATATGGCCCAAGGGATAATCAATAAAGACTCATTGTCATTGTCACAAGAAGAAGAAGATAGGAAGAGACCAAAGAACAGCCAGCCAACTTATGATTCTGCTTTTTCACTAGCCCCTCAGAGTTTTCAGCTCCTCCTTGATGTCTAAACTTGCCTAGCAGCTTGTAGGGAAGAGAAGGGCTGCAAAATGCTGGAATTTGCTGGGAGGATCATCCTCTGGCCATGTAGAGCACTGTTTTTCAACCTTAGCAACTTTAAGATGTGTGGATTTCAACTCCCAGAATCCAACATGGCTGGCTGGGGAATTCTGGGAGTTGAAGTCCACACATCTTAAAGTTGCCAAGGTTGAGAAAAAAACCCCACTGATCTAGAGACTCAACTCAAAGCTAAAATCGGTTCTGTTAATTGTCTCAAATGTGCTTTTTCAAGAGACGACTGGACTTTCTGGTCCAGAAGTTCTGGTCCAAGAGGCAACATATCGCTTCTCATCCAAGAAGCTTCTTCAGCTCTGGCTGGCTGGTATCTGGAGCATTGGTAGAGTTTTCCATGAGGCAAAAGATATTCTTCACTAAACCATCAGAAAGGAGATTACTCAGAAAAGGGGCCTCTGGCAGCCACTGTAAAAATGGACACATGGGGCCTCACGGTTGAATGGAAAAGGTATCCGTAGAATTGCAGTGAGATGACTGAAGCTGACTGCAGTGGGTCCTGTCTTCCTTACTGATTCATTTATCAAGTGTCTTAGACACCCATCTCTAAAATTACTCAATTTCACAAGATAAAAAAAAAAGTGAATAGTCGACATGAAACAAGAGTATAGTCATCCATCCAGACGGAATAGATTAAGAAAAAAAATCTTTCCTACGTCACTCCCAACTTAACAAGACCCACCAAATACCTTAAAACGAAATCCTGGAAAAAGAACCACATTTTTAGGGCTCCTTTGAAGGCGGGCAAGATAAGAGTCATATAAATCTTTGGAGGGGGGGGTTAGTCCACAGGGCAGATGCTGTGTTAGAGGAAGCTCACCTCCTGGGTTCTTCTAGATGACTGATTGATTGACAGGACCCCAGCAAGCCAACACTTCCAGGAGTGTCCAGGAGGGCTGAATCACTATTTTTCTAGGGCCACATGAAAGTATTTGAGCAGGAAAACACAAAACAAAGAAGGGAAATTAGCTGAAAGCTGAGGCCATTTGAGGAACAGAATGTAACTGGAATTACCATAGCACGTTGCCTACGTGGATATTTGCGTTTTACTGTTTTTTATATATATATTTGTAGCAATTGTAGTTTTCATTAAATGGCTGATATGAGTGTGTGTTGTCGCCGAGGGTGTGTGTGTATGAGGGGGTTTTATTTTATTATTATTATTATATTATTTTTTTATTTTTTATTTTGTTTCTTCTACATTGTGTTTTTATTTTCTAAAATGCCGTGAGCGAGTAGGCGTCTATATAAAATTTTCAAAATAAATAAATAAATAGCTTCCACAGGGGATCAACATGAGGAAGACATCAGTTGTAGCATTGTGATGCAGTAGCAAAGAGGCAATTGTGATGCCCTTGTCCGCCATCTTACTGCTTTTCTCACGGACGCCAGTGAGCAAATACTCCAAAAACAGCTATAGATCTGGAACGCCTCCCCGCTCAGGGAAGATGGGAAGCCTGGAGGTACAACCAATTTGATTTCCAGGAGAGCTGGAGTCAACTGCTGTGTGGATCAGGAATTATGGGCAGTGAGCGCTCATAGAGAAACAGATTAACAGAGTTGGACGGGATCTTGCAGGTCACTGAGTCCAACCCCCTGCCCAAGCAGGAGACCTTACATCTGCCTCTACCTAGGATTGAACTCACAACCTCCTGATTGTGAGGCGAGAGCTCTAGGCCACCAAGGCAAGGCTTGTTTCTCTCTGTATCCTTAAAAAGGAATTCCTGCATATGTAAGACCCAAAGAATTGCAAGCAGCAAAAGCTGGCAGAAGAGGTTGTCTGAATCCACCTTATAAGGGGCAAGGGGGAAGCCACAGAATGATCAAAAATTCATTTTCCCCACCACCACTCCTAAATCAGCAGGACCACTGTTGTCAATATTCTGGAAACGTATATTAAGTCCTTGGTGGGGGGGGGAGAGGAAGATGACTAATTTGGCTTCAGCTTTACACATGCTGAAAAATGCCAGATTGTGCAAGGCAGAAGAGGTGTGGTGGGGGTGGAGCGACCCAGGGATCCTCCTCCTGCAACATGCCTGGAATATATATAAACCTTGAGTCCTGCAGAGAACAAGCAGATGCAAAGAAATAACTTGGCAAAGATGACCAGACAGATAAGATCTGCCAACATTGGGCTGATTCTGGCCTTGGTCCTTTTGGGTGAGTCACAAAGCTTGGATAAAGGGTAGTGAGACCAGGTCTGGGCCTGGGCTATAAAGGGCTACTTTGATTTATAATTTATTACAAGTTGATTCAGTTGGGTGGTTGGATAATCGACAGCTTGTTTATTAAAAAGGTGATTGGGTGGTTAAATGGAGCATCTACCTTCTCAACAGACATTGCTCTGTGGCGACAGAAAACAAAGCCAAATTCCCAAGCCAAACCCGACAGCTTTGGCTAAAACAAATGTTATCTGTGATAAACTAGTTAATAGAGTTCTACCATGTGCCATATGGTAGCCATGGCTGGATAATGGCCATTAAGAGCCATTACCCTGCCAATAAATTTTTTTTATAGTATTTACATAAGAGATGGCAGAAGTGGGATGGAGGAGATATAATTAATGAACGTGGATTAGCAAAAGGCAGGGAGGGTATGCAAGCAATCTGTACTTTATCAAAAAAGTATAAGTAACTTGAACTTAACTCTTGAAAGTTGCACAGTTTAATCTCATTTGATTCTGGCTAGTTCTGAAAAAAATGGGGTGTACTCAATATTAGAAAAGACCAGCTGGAGATGCTGTATCCTTTTTGGGACAAACTGGAACAACCAATAACACAATCTTAACAGCAATCTGATTCTGCAATCTGGTACCTCTGTTTAGAATAAGTTTAATAATGTCTGGAAGTGGTGCCCATGGAGGCATTCAGTTCAAAACCTCCTCATCTCTTATTTTGAGAGGGAAAAGGGTGAAAGAAGGGTGTCTAAGCAAAGCCAACTGCTTTTACTATCCTGACTGTTCCAGGCTGATCTGTAGAAATCAGTAAGTGTTTCCCCAATGTGGCAATGAGGATGAGCATCCCTTCCTGTCTGCAAACCAGAGGCTCTTATTAGTCCTGGAAGCAGGAGATTTCAATATATACAGTATTTTCAAATTTTTACAGGAAACGAAAACAGTTTCACAAGAGACCAGGAGTAGTGATGGAGGGAGCTGATTCATGTGTATGACCCTGAGTTAAAGTTTCAAACAGGAGGATCACCGCTGGTGATGCTTATGTAACATTCGGCTGCCGCCTTTAAGAAAGTACAGTGTGTGTATTGGATGTAGATCCGTGTTTCTCAACCACAGCAACACTTTAAGATGGGTGGATTCCAACTCCCAGAATTCCCCAGCACCCATCTTAAAGTTTCTAAAGTTGAGAAGCATTGATCTAGATTTGTCTAATCTCAGTTTCTCACTGTGAGCAGCCAAGCTCATGGCTAACTTTTCATATGCATTTCCGTGAGTCTTAAAACATGGCTAAAGATGAACCCAGTTTGGCACTGGAGAGTACACATGTACTCCCACTGTAGAACTTCCCATGGATAACGTTTCTTCTACTGGGGATACTGCAAATGGGAGAAGATACCGTACGTGATCCTTCTGTCTGTTTGTATAGTTCTTGATAAATTTGCAGAAACTACATTGTTATCTCTCTCTCTCTCCCTCCCTCTCTTCGACTGACTGACTGACTGTCTGTCTGTCTGACCAGCTACTCTGCCAGCCCAATCTCTTTGTGCAAAGATGTTATACTGGGAAAATCTCCCCCTGTTGAATTTTTGCCTGTTATCATTGCTGCCATTCCATGCCTTGAAGACACCAAAGCAGTCCGAAGAACAAGCTACCACCCTCCAAGGGAGCTCTTAGCTAATGTAAAGTGGTTCCCCAAAAGTCACATTAAAAAGCTGTTGTGTCTTCAGTTGTGCATTCACACCCTTCATCTTGACCCCCCCACTCTTGTTTCCTGGGAGCAAGGTTCCTTGCTTTTTCCCTGAAGTTCTTTCATGGAAGACATCTGAAGAAGTGAGAAAGCCAAAGAGTTGTAGTTTTATTTGATAAGAATGTCAATGTTGGGAAAGGTGGAGTTATAAATCTTTTCCAGCTGAGCAGCACAACCTGTTTTAAATGTCAGAATTCCGACCCCTTAACCTGTGAAATGCTAGTTAAAAAATACCAGTTTTGTTTGCCACCACCATTCCTTATTCCGCCAGACACAAGCGGGAATTCTTTTGAGATTCCAGATCTCGATATTGAACATTTTATTTGATTTTTCTCAAGATTGCAAAGCAGTTTTACAAGGAAGGGGCTGGGCACTAGGAATGACTGTGCAGAAAGCCACAGCATCCATTGGGGAGTTGGGAAGGGACCAAAACAACAAGATGGCAACTGTAGGTCCTGGTCACAAAACAAGACAGTTTTATACTCGGAGTACATATTTGCTCTCCGGTGCCAAATTGGTCAATTTGACTTTTTTGACCTGGCCTGGGAGAGTCAGGTCAAAGACTTTGAGAGAAAGGCATCAATTGTAGGCATTCCTGTATCAAAGCCAAGTTTGATGTCCTAGCACATTATGATTGTGTTAATTCGATTGCTGAGAAACAGGATAACCTTTTTTTCTGGGGTTTCCCTTTCTTTCTCAACCCTCGTAATCTTCCGTCACAAACATTGGGCAGACAAAATATTGAAATAAGAGATTTATCCCACCTTTTGTGACTTTCCTACATTTTCCAGCTCTTTTGTTCTCCTATGTTCTGTGTTAGTGCTTGCTGTATATCCACTTACTACTATTGCTCAAACCTGGTTTCCTAATCTGGTTTGTTATTTAAATCCGCCAACAATCAGTAAATTTGGCCATTGAAGAAGTGGTTGGAGGATTGTGGGAAATGAAAGTGGCAATCCTTGGTTCTTTCTTCCCTGCTACTGCCAGCTGAACCTAAGGGAGATGATAAAGAGATCCTGCGTATATGCAGCTGGGTTCAAAAGTCAAGATGGCAGCCGTAACTATCTAGACATAACAAGAGTGGCGTGTCCATCTTGTTTTTTGTTTCAGCCATCTTGATTTTTGTTGCAGCTGCCATCTTGATTTTTGTTGCAGCCACCATCTTGATTTTAGTTGTGGCCGCCATCTTGTTTTTGTTTTGGACATTTTTGTTTTGATTTTTGTTGCGGTTTGGCCGGCATTCCTCTCAATTTTGAACCACAATTTCATTCTAAGGAGGATCTGGCCGATGAGACAAGTGGGGGAAAGAGAAAAATCCTGAGAAACGTATGCACCACTTCAGATTTTTTTTTTTAGTAGTGGAAAATTTTTTAAATTCTTTTTCAAACATGTAGAAAATAAGGAATTTAGCCAAATGTAGGCTAGTTTTAATGGAAAGCTTTTTCCCTCAAGGTGTTTTTTCTTTTTTTGGACAATATTCAAAATGATTCCATACACACACACACACATACACATACACATACACACACACACCACGGTTGTTAAGCGAATCACTGCAGCTGTTAAGCGAACTATGTGGTCGTTTAAGCAAACCTGGCTTCCCCCGATTGACATTAAAAATCGCGGAAGGTGATCATCGTGTGATCCTGGGACAGTGTACAAAGGAGCTACATTTTGATCACACCACCATGGGGATGCTATGATGATCGAAAGTGTGAAAAATGGCTGCCAGTCCCTTTCTTCAGTGCCGTTGTAACTTCAAACAGCCACTGAACAAGTGGTTGTACGTTGAGGACTACCAGTAGCTGCTGATTTGTTCTCGGCGTATAAATTGAACTGGATTCAAAGGATGAGGTCATGAATGACGAACGGGAAGACGGATGTGGGCCCTGAGGGAGCAATCCCCATTTCTTCTTTCGGGGATAATCTTGCCTCCATAAAATCTTGCTTCAGGCAGCAGGCCTCTGAATAAAAGGCATTAAGTCACGGTTTGCAAGCGTTACGCCCACCAAGAGTTTATCTTAGCTCATGCTAAAACTCTTAGTCAAGGTGGTTGGCGTGTCCCATGTTGAGAGAGGGGGAAGAGTTCTCCTTTGACAAACAAAACCACACCAACCTGCGTTTTTAGTGTTTCATCTGGATTTCAGCCTGCCTTGATGGCTCCTGGTCATCGAACAAAACACACATCCAACTTCAGATGAACAGACGTGGTGTCATTATATTAGAAGGTTGCAAAGCAAATAGATTTTTTTTGAAGCTAAATTGAGCCTAAGTGAGCAGTAGAGAAGGGTTGAATCTAAATTTGCCAATCTGGAGAGCAAAGCGTTTCTCTGATGTTGTGTTTTAGAGCAGTGTTTCTGAACCTAGGCAGCTTGAAGATGTCTGGACTTCAACTCCCAGGATTCCCCAGCCAGCACAGCTGGGAGTTGAAGTCCACACATCTTCAAGCTGCCTAGGTTCAGAAACACTGCTTTAGAAAACATCTGGTTGGACTCTCTAGGATGCATAAAATGATGGAGCAGATTGGTATTGGTATCTGATCTGGATTCCCTTCAACATGCTAACTGGAGTTCATCCTACTTAACTTTCAACATTTACTGAGGCTCATAATGGCAATTTGCAAGCATTAGCAATTTACATTTTCCATACATGAACAATCCTATAGATAGCCTTCCAGGACCATTCATTTAGTGGTCATTCAAAGTTACAACAGCACTGAAAAAAGTGACTTATGACTGTTTCCTCACACTTATGACCATTGTAGCCTCCTCTTGGTCACATGATCAAAATGCAGACACTTGGCAACTGGCATGTATATGTGACGGTTGCAGTGTCCTGGGGTAACACGATTCCCTTTTGTGACCTTCTGGCAAGCAAATCAATGGGGAAGCCAGATTCACTTAACAACCGTGTTACTAATTTAACAACTGAAATGATTCACTTAGCAGCTGTGGCAAGAATGCTCATAAAATGGTGCAAAATTCCCTTAAAAATTGGCTTGCTTAGCCACAGAAATTTTGGGCTCATTTATGGTCATGACTCAAGGACTTCCTGTACTTAACCAACTGCTGCTGATCAAATGGCAATGTTCGTAACAACCAAAGATTAAAAGAAGCCAATTCAAATATTTGTGTCCAAAATTGCTCATTGTTAGGAAATGAGGGAAAAAATCCCTAAAGGAGCAACTGAGGAAGCCGCTTCTATTTGTTAACTGTCAAAAGCAGCTGGATATTGCCTCTACATGTGAGTAGCCCCTTTGAAATGAATCAGGCATGACTAATATGTCTAAAGACACTCAAATGCAGAGATAACCCAGGACAAACATGTCCATTTATCTCAAAGGCAATTCTTCTCTATTAAATAAATTGACTTATAGCCAGTTAGAAATGCTGCAGAAAGCTGAGAGTGTTTGTGGAATGTGTAACTTTAAATGCTACCTTTGGTAGCAAAGGGGATTTATATATGCATTTAACCAGACACTGGATTTTTTTTTGAAGGGGATTTTAACACAACCATGTTTTTTGTTTTTACCAGCTCTTCACAGAGGATCATCAGTTCCAGGTATGATCATAAATGGGCCATATTTCTCTTTTATTTTGCAACTGTTTCTCATTAAAGTGGATAAAACTACATAAAGGATGGGCTGAAAATGAATTAGTATGCAACCCTAGGTTTGAAAGGTAGCTGCAAACAATATTTGGATGGGCTTAAAATGTTGGCTTCTGGGTTTAAATTGGAAAAATTGGTCTTGTATCATATTGATGTGATCAGGGCTATTTCAGAAACAAAACATGCCCCCCCCCAAAGAAACCAGTTACCTGTTCTGAAGCTGTATATTTCACCAGTCAGTAAGAGAAGAGCAAGTCTTTAACGACATTAATCCCATATGGCTAACTGATTATAGTTTCAATAATTTTAAAGAGAATTCTGGGAGTTAAAGTTGCCAAGCTTGAGAAAAGCTGCTCTATCAGGTGAGGGCTAGTTTGGTACTTAAGACACCAGGCTAGAATAGAATAGCATAGAATAGAATTTTTTATTGACCAAGTGTGATTGGACACACAAGGAATTTGTCTTGATGCATTTGCTCTCAGTGTACATAAAATAAAAGATACGTTCATCAAGAATCATAAGGTACAACACTTAATGATAGTCAACTATCTAGAAACTAGGAGACTGAGTTCAGATCCCACCTTAGATCCCATTTTAGGCATGAAGACAGCTAAATGACTCAGGCCAGCCACTCTCTCTCAGCCCTAGGAAGCAGGCAAGGGCAAACCACTTCCATAAACCTTACCAAGAAAACTGCAGGGACTTATCTAGGACATTGCCAGGAATCAACACTAGCTCCAAGACACCAAAACAAAATTGGATAACCTCTCAATAAGATGCCTTTTAATCTTTCTGTTCCCCATCCAGCATTAACATGTGGACTTCAACAGCCTGTTCTACGGATAGCGGGTGGTGTGAATGCCCAGGCTGGCGAGTGGCGGTGGCAAGTCAGTGTCCAATATCGCAGCCAACATATCTGTGGAGGAAGCCTCATTAATAATCAATGGGTTCTCACTGCTGCCCACTGCTTTTTCGAGTAAGTGAAGATGGGTTCCCTTTTCTTCATGCTCCTAATATGCCTCTTAGCCTGACAAGGTTCCTTATACTTCCTGGTAGCTCGTTGATGGCTCAACCTATTTCGGACACCATTCCCCATTGAAGACTGTTTTGATTTAAATTGGCAAAAGCTGCTTTTGTTACAACATATGTAGTTAACTTTGGTGCAGCAGCATGAAAAATCCTTCGGACCAGAGGTGGTATTCAGCAGGTTCTGACCAGTTTTGGAGAACCAGTAGCGGAAATTTTGAGTAGTTCGGAGAACCGGTAGATACCACCTCTGATTGGCCCCGCCCCCATCTACTCACTGCCGAGTCCCAGCTGATCGGGAGGAAATGGGGATTTTGCAGTATCCTTCCCCTGCCATGCCCACCAAGTCATGCCACTCCCACCAAGCCATGCCCATGGAAGCCGTAGTAAAATTTTTTGAATCCCATCACCCTAAAAGGCCAATTTTCTGCAATGCATTCTCTGTAGCTATAATTCATTTAAATGTTAGATAGTATCACTGTGTTGTAATTTTAGATGTTATCATATTTAATGTAATTTTAGACTCTACATTATAATTTAATACAGGCTGCGTCTTGGACCTCACCTAGTGTTGCTATTTAGATTATTTTAGAAATGTGTTTTAATTTTGTCTTAGAATTGATTTTGTTCGCACACAGACACACTAATATTCATCCATATCCCTGTCTGTCTATCAGTCTAGCCATCTAGCTATCCAGCTAGCTATTCACAGAGTATTCCTCTTGTACTAGTCTACAATTCAATTGAATAGAATCAAATGGAATTGAATTAAATTGAACGAGTAGCTGCCGAACATCAAACCAAATCATTGGGTTGGCTACTCTGGAGTTAATTATCCAGAAAGATAGAAGACAGATGCACAATTTTTCCTGGGGATATCTAGGACTGGTAGTTTAGATGTCCCTGGATGAAAATAATACAGGTAGTCCTCAATTTATGACCACAGTTGACCCAAAATTTCTGTTGCTAAGCAAGTCAGTTGTTAAGTGAGTTTTGCCCCCATTTTATGACCTTTCTTGCCACAATTGTTACATGAAACTGCAGTTAAGTTAGTAACATGGTTGTTAAATGAAATCTGGCTTCCCCATTGACTTTGCATGTCAGAAGGTCACAAAAGGTGATCATATGACTCTGAGACATTGCAACCGTCATAAATATGAACCAGTTGTCAAGCACCCGAATTTTGATCATGTGACAGTGGGGGAATGCTGCAACGGTAATTAAATGTGAAAAATGGTCATAAGTTACTTTTTTCAGTGACATTGTAACTTCGAACACATTAAATGAATGGTTGTAAGTTGAGGACTATCTGCAATTAACAGACTAATTTTAGGACTTTTCCATTTGTCTTTACCAAAATGATCAACTTTTTTCTATCAATTAATTACAAACCCAAGATATTTACCCCAAGGTAATCTTTCTTGAACATGGTCCCTCCCGTTTAAACCTGAACTGTTTTTATTAGGTATAATATCAGAAAAATTAGACAAGAAAAGTATGTATTTAATATTACATGTTGTAACAGCAGTGAGGATTATAGTCACACAATATTGGAAAAATGAAGAAACACCGCAAGATGAAGAGATAATTAAGAAGATATTAGACTGTGCAGAAATGGATAGATTGACATTGAAAATTAAGCAGACAGAAGACACAGAATACTATCAAACATGGAATCTATTTTATCAGTGGTTGGAAAAAAGAGGTGGAGATTTAAGAATATAAACAGAATTATTAAGCAAATTAAATACCTAGACAATATGATGTTTATTAAGCACTAAGAAATGTAACTAATAAAAAAATCAATAAATTTTGGGGGTGGGGAGAAGAAGAATCAGAATCAAAATAGAGCTGGAAGGGGCCTTGGAGGTCTTCTAGTCCAGCCCCATGTTCAAGGAGGAGATCCTATACCATTTCAGACATGTGACTGTCCAGTCTCTTCTTAAAAACCTCCAGTGATGAAGCACCCACAACTTCTGAAGTCAAGCTGTTCCACTGGTTAATTGTTTTTACTGTTAGGAAGTTTCTCCACAATTCCAGGTTGCTTCTTTTCTTGATTAGCTTCCATCCATTGTTTCTTGCCCTGCCTTGGAAAATGAATTGACCCCCTCCTCTTTGTTGTAGCCCCTCAAATACTGGAATACTGCTATCATCTCATCCTTAATCCTTCTTTTCTCTGGACTAGCCACACCCAAATCCTGCAATTGTTCTTCCTATGTTTTAGTCTCCAGGCCTTTATTCATCTTAATTGCTCTTCTTTGCACTTTTTCCAAAGTCTCAACATCTTTTTTTGTAGTGTGGTGACCAAAACTGCACCCAGTAGCATTCTAGGCGTAGATGGCGGAAGGTTGGATGGAATTACAGCTCTTGTCTATGGATGTTGTTTTATTCTAGGATTGGGAAACAAATCCACCCGGAGCATTGGAGCGTGATCTTGGGAAGTGTGAGGCTGATGGGCAGGAGGGCCAGAGGGTCAAAACGGAACGTCTCTATGGTCATCCCTTACGAAAACTACACCAGCTACGAGAAAGGACATGACATCGCTCTGGTGCGCCTGGCCAAGCCTGTGCGCTACACCAAAGATATCGCGCCCATCTGCCTGCCTTTTGCTGAGCACCGCTTTGCCTTTGGGACCCAGTGCTGGTTGACTGGCTGGGGAGACGTCGCGGCCAACGGTGAATAGAAGGGGTTAGAGTGGAGAGGCCTGGAGGGTCTTCAGATCTAGCTTCAAGAATCTGTAAAAGACAGATTTTTTTTTTATTTAAAAAAAAAAGATCTGGAATTTCTTATTGATAAGGAGAGGCTTTAGGGCAGAGTTCCCCAGCCTTTCTGGCTTTCCAGACTGGTGGGAAGGGGGCAGGGAATGGTTTTGCATTAGAGGCAGGCATGTGCAGCCCCATTTGCACAAGTGGCGGTCATGGACACACCCCACTCGTGCAAATGGACCCCACGTGCAAGCGCTCGTTTCCGCAGGTTTCACCTCATTCCTTCTTGTCTTCCAGTCCACCTGCCAGAACCCATGATCCTCCAAGAAATAACCATGGACCTCTTGACTGTCGACACCTGCAACTGCATTTACAGCAATCTGCGCAACAGGCGGATCGTCAACCCTGCCTTGCCTGGCATGGTCTGCGCCATGACTCCTGACCGCAAGAGAGGACCTTGTAAGGTTAGTCAAACATCACACTCCCAACCTCCAAAGAAACATGTGTTTGTCTGCTGCTTCCTAACTGTTGGAATGAATGTTGGGATGTAATTTATATTGCAGCAACTACAGCTGTATTCAGCCAGTAGATGGCAGTATTTACAAGTCTGGATCTATATATACTCTATGCTCTTTTGTTCTAACCAGAGTTTCCTGATACAGTAATATAGTTGAGCAGTAAAGCACATGGTGGTGTTTTATATAAACAGAATTTCTAACACTAACTGCTGACTTGTCAGGGAATGATGACTGTCCAAATGAAGTCAGAGACACTGACGTGAACTTGTAGTTTTATATAAATAAATATATTTTACATCTGTATTTACAGCAAACAAGATAGTCAGGCAAACAGAAGCATAGAGGGCACACCCAAATCACAGAGCATATAGGACACACACCCCAAATAAAAGGCAGGGAAAAAAGGGGAACTGCCCTTCCACACCCACAACTACCAATCACAGTGCAGATTTCCTTATGCAGGAGCCAGCTCTCTCCAACCAATCAACTACAAATGTGTGTTTTGGCTCATTGTACAACCCCACTCTTCCAGCTACTAAATTTAAATATCTTCACATGGCCCTATCTTGATAGAGAAGAATTGGTTGTTAATTTTAAAGCAAGAATGTAAATCAAGTTTTTAGCCCTCTAGGTCTGAGTTTGGGATTCTGCAGCAATGCTTGAGAAAATATTTAATTTAATTTAATATTTAAATTTATATACCGCCCTTCTCCCGAAGGACTCAGGGCAGTGAACAGCCATAGATAAAAAACATAGAATACAAAATTTAAAAACAATTAAAAAATATATTCAACAATTTGGCCCAACAATTAAAATCCCCCATTTAAAATTCAAATTAAAATTACACCATTGGAGAGTTAGGCCAGATCTAGATTTGAATCTAAAGCAGTGGTTCTCAACCTTCCTAATGCCGCGACCCTTTAATACAGTTCCTCATGTTGTATTGTATGGTGACCAACCATACAATTATTCCTAAGGCCATTGAAAATATGTGTTTTCCGATGATCTTAGGCGACCCCTGTGAAAGGGTCATTCGACCCCCAAAGGGGTCCCGACCCACAGGTTGAGAACCACTGATCTAGAGGGTAGAAAATATTTCAGGAAGTTGTACAATTCCCCCTTTTCCCTCCATTTTTATTCCTGTATGGCACAGAGGGAATGCAGTATGGTGAAAAAAAGGAATTCAGCAGAGGGCCTTAAGTATAACTTGAGATAACTTTAGATCTAGCCTAAAATAACAGAATAACAAGGTTGGAAGGGACTTTGGAGATCTTCTAGTCCAATCCCCTGCTCAAGGCAGGAGACCCTACCATTCCAGACAAATAGCTGCCAGTCTCTTCTTGGGAACCTCCAGTGATGTAACAATCACACCTTTTGGAGGCAAGTTGTTCCACTGATTGTCTTAACTGTTAGGAAATTTCTCCTTAGTTCTAGGTTACTTCTCTCCTCGATTAGTTGCCATCTGTTGTTTCTTGTCTTGCCTTCTGCTGCTGTGCAAAATAGGTTGACCCCTTCTTCTTTGTGGCAGCCCCTCAAATATTGGAACACTGCTGTTATATCATCATAGTTCTTCTTTTCACTAGGCTAGACATATCCAATTCGATGTCAGCACGTCAAGATGCATTTATCCTAGTGCTGACATAAGGAGAACGCAGGCGTCTGCAACGGGACGGTTGCCTTTCACCTACTTATTTCCTCTGGAGATAATGTCCCCTAGGAAATGGATGGGAGGGGGGAAATTCTTTGAATTGGAGCAGATGATTAAGGGTGAATGATTGGGAAGATGGCCAATGAATGCAGAGTGGGGGATGCTTAATAAAATGAAAGTTTGTTTTATAAAAGACTTCGTTTGCGATGCAATTTATTTGAAGACAACCTGAAAACCTGACATTCGATTTATTCTCCAAAGCACCGGAGGGCAGGATAGGAAGCAATGGGTTGGAAGCTCATCAGAGGAGATCAGACCTTAAAATAAGGAGGAATTTTCTAACAGTGAGAATAATTAATCAATAGAACAACTTGCCTTCTGGAGTTGTGGATGCCCCATTGCTGGAGGTTTTCAAGAAAAGTTTGGACTAGAAGACCAACAAATTTTCCAGTTCTACTGGATGGTTTTATAATCAATGAATTCATAATTCTCATAATGAATTCATAATTCTTTTCCTTGGCTCCTATTTCTAGTCCCCCCCTCCACATCTACTCCTTACCTTAATGTTGTTGCCCATCAAAGGCTGGGGAGGTCCAGCCTGAGACATCTCCTTGCCATTAGTTCCCACTGGTGGATCATGCAGTAAGAAAAGCAAAGGAGGAGATGGAGACAGACATCACCGTGCATGCAGAGAAAATGCAAAAAAAAAAAAATCTCTTTCCATCCTAGGGCGATTCAGGTGGCCCACTGGTTTGCTTGGAGAACGGCCGATGGTTCCAGGCAGGGATCATGAGTTCCTCCTTGAGTTGTACCCAGTTCTATGGACCCACCCTCTTGACGGACGTGAGAGCCTACGCCAACTGGATCCAGCATCATGTTGAAGGAGCCTCCTTTGCCAATCAGATCGAGCCCATACCCAACACCACTGACAGTTACATGTGCACAGGTAGATATCTTCACATCTCGCTACTGTGAATACCTTCATTGACAACCCACCTGTCCAAAGCCTCATTGCAGGATTTTGCTGACATTCTGTACTTTCTCCCTCTTGTTTTCCGATCTAGCTTTAAGTTCTGCCTCTTCTTTTTTCAGAGAAGGAAGGGTTTAAGCCAGCCATCAAGGCCAAATTAGCTTCTAAGTCTGTTTGCATTGCCAATGTTTAAACCAAAGACTTGCAAGTGGTGTCTTTTGCAATAAATACCAGCTATCAGCCAAAATCAGAATCAATGCTGCTTAGCATGGCAACCTGGAGATGTGTGGACTCCGACTCCCAGAATTCTCTAGCCAGCCATGTTGAAGGCCAGACAACTTAAAATTGCTAAGGTTGAGAAACACTGCTCTAACTAGTCAGCAATTCTATATAATTGCTGTCTTAGACACCATGCCAAACTGGTCCTCATCTTATAGAGCAGCATTTCTCAAGTGTAGAATTCAGGAATTGAAGTCACCCATCTTCAAGTTGCCAAAGTTGAGTAACACTAGTCTACACCCTAATCTTAATTTAAGACCCATTTAGTGCATCAGAGGTAAGAGGAATTGATAGCCCTTCCTACACTGAACTACAATCCCCATCCCTATTAATGATGTTGCCGGGGATGATGGGAACTGGAACACAATCACATTTGGAAGACCACATGATTCCCATCTGAACCTTGTTTCATATCTGGGCATATCATGGTTTAAAGCTGGATGCTCTCATCAGCGCCTTTTTTGTGATGGGAATTATATGGATTATTGGTTCATCTAGGCATCCAAAGGTTATACCCAGGAGGGTGTGTAATAATTCCTTCAGTGTGGAATAGTAACATTTTGGCTATGTGTGGGTTGAAAAACAGAAAAATACTTTCCCTTTCACCGGGCCACTTTTGCTTCTTATTTTATTGTCCCCGTCAATACACTGTGAAAATCTCTAGTTAGTCACCATGTGTGCGTTGCTTGGAGGTGATCGGGGTTCATGACTGGCACACCCCTGCCAATGTGGAAGAGGTGATGATGGATGTAGCCATATATGTGTACTGTACCTCTTGTCTTTGGGAACATAAGATGAAGTGACACCTCATGTTACACCCATTTGTTTAGTGACCGTTCAAAGTTACGATGGCACTGAAAAAGTGACTTATGACCATTTTTCACACTTACGACCATTGCAACATCCCCATGGTCACGAGTTCAAATTTTGGACCCTTGGCAACCGGCAAGTACTTGCGACGGTTGCATGGGAAGCAAACATTGACAAGCAAAGTCAATGAGGAAGCCAGATTCATTTAACAACCGGGTTACTAACTTAAGAACTGCAGCCATTCCCTTAACAATTGTGGCAAGAAAGGTGATAAAACAAGGCAAAACAACTGTCTTGCTTAGCAATGGAAACTCTGGGCTGAATTGTGGTCATAAGTTGAGGACTACCTGTGTTCTTTATTGATCTCCAGGCTGCGGGGTCCTGAAACAGGAGAACAAACAATGGCCTTGGTATGCAAGTCTACAGTATCAAGGAGAGCACGCCTGTGGAGGCACTTTAATTGGGGAGCACCACATCCTGACTGCTGCTCAGTGCTTCATTGGGTGAGTGGAAGATGGGGGTGAGGCAGCCTTTGAGGAGGGAACAGCCCATGTTGTTCAATATCCACATTCATCGCACTGACTCTGGATTAGATCTGAGAACTTCTTTTCAACTAATGCTGTCCTTTGAATGTTCCCAAGCTTAGTTAACTGACCCATTCGTTTCTCTGTATTGTAAACATGAATGAACACCAAGCCTCAGCCATGGTTCTGATGGTGACTATTTATTTATTTGTATCCTGTCTTTATTATTTTTACAAGTAACTCAAGGTGGCAGATATATCCAACGTGACTTCACTCTTCTATTTTTTTCCCCCAACAGCAACCCTTTAAGGTTGGTTGGGCTAAGAGATAATCACTGGCTCAAAGTCACCCAGCTGGCCTTCATGGCTAAGGCAGGACTAGAATTCCCCATCTCCCGACTTCTAGCCTGGTGCCTTAACCATCAAACCAAACTGACTACAGTAGAATCCCAAATCCCAGAAATTTTGGCCTGACTTTATAAAAATCAGGACATCTGGAAATGTCCTCCCTCTTTATACTACGTCAACCCCCCCAAATTGTGGTCCAAAGTGATTACAGGCAATCCTTGACTTGCGACCATTTGTTTAATGACCATTGAAAGTTACAAGGGTGCTAAAAAAGTGTGACATGACCAGGTCTCCTACTTATGAGCATTGCAGTGTCCCCATGATCACATGATCAAAATTTGGGCACTTGGCAACCAGCACCTAGTTACGATTGCAGGATCCTAGGATCATGTGATCACTTTTCATGACCTTCCCGCGGGCTTCCAGCAAACAAACTCAGTGGGGGATTTGTCAACATCTGCCTAATTCGCTTAACAACCACATACATATGCTTAAGGACTGGGGCAAAAGAGGTTCTAAAGTTGGATGTGACTCACTTAATATCTGCATTGCTTAGTGATAGAAGCTCCAGTCCCAAGTGTCATAAATGGAGGGCTATCTGTATTCACTCCAATCTGATTGCACAGACTTCCTTTTTTTTTTGTTTTACTTGGGCATCATTCTTTTTCCTTCTGTATGATGTTTTCCAGGCGCCAGGAAACGGAAGGCTGGGAGGTACTTCTGGGAGAGCAGCTGGAAGGAAGGCAACAAAAATGGCAAGAGAAGAGAACTCTCAAAAACATTGAGCTTCACGGTCTCTATGTTGACATGATGGAAGGTTACGACATTGCAGTTGTCACACTGGCACAACCTGTGGTGTTCAATGACAACATCTCAGCCATTTGTGCCCCATATGCTGCCCACCAGTTCCCCTTTGGCTCTACTTGCTGGACCCGCGGGCGAAGAATTGGTACGTTGTGGATCAGCAGGATGGGAGAGAGTGATGGATTTTTCCTCCAGGATAGGCTTTTACTAGAACTTGTAATCTGATACAAGATATGGAAAAAAGAGAGGTTGTCACAACTCAGGATGCTGCTTAATGTTGAAGAAATCTATGGTGCTTCCCAGTGGAAAGAGGAAAGGAGATGAGAGATTTAGAATTACTTCCCCTCCCCCCCTGGTTTTTTTTCTTTTTTTCTTTTAACAACCCTGTAATCCCTTGCATTGGGATGGAGTCAGGGTGACTGAATGGAGCTGAGCGTTTACTGGCTGGATGCCCTTCCTAATGCCTACATGGGGTTCACAGCAGATATTTTCTCTTTGCATGCAGAGAGAAAGAAATATCTGCTGCTACTTAGCATTGAACTCACAGCCTCCTGATTGTGAGGCAAGAGCTCCACCTCTAGGCCACCATGCCACTCATTTAGAATTACTCCCCCATTTAACAATATTGTTCCCTCTTTATCCAGATGACCAAGGGATGCCAGGCCCTCTGCAAAGTGTGGAGGTGAAAATCCTTGGCCCAAAGAATTGCAATTGCCGCTACAATGTGACGAGTGACCCTGGGAGAGAAATCTCCATCATGCCTAAGATGGTCTGTGCAGTACCACATAACAGATCCATGCGTTGTGAGGTAAGGAATTGAGTTTAACCAGTGATACAGCAGCTGTTGGGTGTACCATGAAAAGACACCACTGCCAGAGTAAAGTTTTCATCATATGCTGTGGCTTAGAATCAATGGAATCAGAGCAGGGACCTTCACCCTGACCATTCCCACAAACGATTGGATTCTCCCTGAAAAAAAAAATGAAAGCAGCGAATATACTTGATTTGGATGTCTCCTATGTTTTAAAATTTAATACAGGATTTAAATATGACCTGTTTTGTTAGATTTTTCAGAGATAAATTATGTTGAAAATGGTGCACTTAAACATTTGTGAGAACTTTTTTTTTAATGCAAATTTAATGCAGTCTGCTTGGTGTAGACTGTTTCCTAACTTCCTTGCCGCAGTAAAAAGCTAAATGGACAGAAAACACGCTAAACATTGAATAGTTAAGTAACTATTATTTACACATTATTAACTGAAGCACTGATATTCCCTAGCCAGAGATAAAGCAAAAATCAGGGCAAAAATAGTCAATTTTAAAGCAGTGGAGCTGTCCAACATCTGTGGTGCTGAAACGTCCAATACAGGGTCATTCTAAGGCTGTAATCGGCTTCACATTTCAAAGTGCTTTTTGTCCTAAAATTTCTCTCATTCCCCTATTCACAATTTCCATTGTTGTCTGTTCATGCGCATCCCTTTGATGAGCAGAAACAACACCCTGCAATCCAAAGTGCCACAAACTCTCACAAGTTGTTTCTTTGGCTGTTTCCTAACTTTGATCCAATATACAATTCTTTATATTGATTGGAGATGAAACCCAGAAGTTCTGTCTCAGATCTTTTCCTCTTTTAAGCCAATGAAACTCAAAAGGTAACCTAGGAATTTTCACCCGTTTTGTCACATAAAAGACACTGCAGAAATATTATTGTTGATAGCACCATTAATGGAACTCTTAAGCAAAATAGCATCCAGCTGGCCTTATCTAGGCATGTAAGGTAAACAGGATTGGACCTATTTAGGTGACTGGTGGGAGACCAGGGAATACCAGTAAACTCTTATGGAAAATTGAAAAAATACCACAGAATAAAGCAGAAGAAATAAATGTTTCCCCAATTCTTACTTTACAAATACTTAGAATTTTTGAACATTATAAGCAGAAGCTATATTTAAGACTAATAATCAAGGACAATTGAATTAAGATTCACAACTGCTGGTATTAAGTTTTTTTCTAGAATCAATATCCAGATAACCCAAATAGCATTGTTTATTTCTGCCTGCATTATCTTTGCTTCCTCATGATTTGGAAATGTTGCCCCACAGATTCCCATTTTGGTTCTTGTTGGCTTAAGATAGTAATCTTTCTATTCTTGAATCTCTAGGTAAGCATCGGAGACCCCTTGGTTTGCAGCCACAAGGGGGTGTGGTTCTTGGCTGGCATTTCCAGCTATGGGAATGGATGTGGAACTATAATTCGTCCAGGGGTTTTCACATCCGTCAAGAGCTACGAAGAGTGGATCATGAAGGCTGCCTGGTCCACATACTATGATGTGCAAAAAAACCCTGTACCAAAGGCCACAGATGAAGAGACTTGCCTGACTGTGTAGCCTTCCTGTTAACATCTAGCAAGCTCATAAATCAGGATTTCTCTTACAATGAGGGTTTGAAAGGCAAACTTTTGCTTCATCTTACGATCTGTGTATACCTCTTTCTTGAAGCAACTTGAATCTTGGCGTAACAAAGAAATGTCTACAAGAGCGATCATACCCTAGGAAATTATCTAATCAGCATTGCATTCACTTATTCAAGTTTCTCAACTGTGACAACTTTTAAGATGTGTGGACTTCAACTCCCAGAATTACCTGCCACACATCTTAAAGCTGCCAGAGTAGAGAAACACTGCCTTAGGCACCCTGTTCATACAGTTACATTTCTCATTTCATTTTTTATTTTTATTTTTTTAGTCTGTGGTGATCCATTCCTGATCGTGAAATATCAGGATGGCAAATATTTATTTCCTTTTTTCCACCTGTAAATAAGCCTGGGACTAAACTGATCAAAACTGACTTGCCCAGTTTTTACACTCCTAAAAATCCATTTTCAAAGGCTGTGAAGCTTGTATAGTCAATATGACCTGCTCTTTAATGCTTTGGAATTTTCTTATTATTTTCTAAAAAACAGACCACACGCACTAAGTAACCTGTATACTAAATCTGAGCTTTCTAGTGTATGTAGAGTCTTGCCAATTAGTTACAGACAGCCCCATACAATTTACATTTTGTTTCAGTGACTATGATTCTCTAGTATCTCAATAGAATTATTAGACAAGACGATTGAGACTGACATACTTCTCCCAATGCATCAAACCATGATATGGTTTGTTTGCTTCAGCTTTAGGTATTCTACAAACTTAACTGCTGTGGCTTATGCTTAGCCTTTTGAACAAATCCTAAGGGTGGTTTGTTATATTGTGTATGCCATGGTTATATATAAACCTTTGTACCATATGTGAGCACAGACTACAGCTTTCTTGGGTTTTGTAGCCAAGCCAGGAATCCAGGTTTCTTGCCCCACTTTTGCTTTCTTTGAGCCTCAGCACTTCACTACAGATCATCTTTATTTTAAGTGTAAGATGTGGGTAGAATCTTGGGTTTCTCTTGTGAATTAAAAAATGCATCCAAGCTAATCTTGAGTTATTTTTTTCCCCCAAGATGATAAAACTGACATGGATTTATTGGTGTATTTATTTTCAATGTTCCATTTAATGAAGCAAGTTATTTAAACATTTGTAAACTCTGTCCGACCAGCATCTGATTATTTGTACATGACAACGTTTGCTGATTGTATAGGCTTTAATTGTTGGGAGCCAGCATCTTGTACTCTAGAAAGCATTTGGTTGTTAATCTTTGTCTTTTTAAAACATCATCTCCCCCAGGCTGATTTATAATATGCTGTACTTTTCTATCTCTGTGTAGATAGATAAATCTATTTATATTTGATAATATGTATTTATTACATTTTGTTTTTCTATTATGTTACTGTGAAAATTTGTTTGGAAAAATGGAATATAAACAACAATAAAAGAAAGGCAAGAATTACCATTGTTTGTAATTTAATATTGCCACAATGATATTACAGATAGTCCTCAATTTAATGACCATAATTGAGCCTCGTGGTCATTAAGCAGGTCATGTGACTGGATCTGATTTTGTGTCATGTTTTGAGGCAGCCATTAAGTGAATGCCCTGGTTGCCAAGTAAATACATTTTAGCTAATGTGCAGTTTATTTTTTTTGCCAGAAACCAGCAAAAACTGTTGAAAACCATGGTCACATGATCGTAGGATGCTACAAATAGCCATAAAGGCGAGTTAGTTGCCAAGCAACCAAAATATGATCATGTGACAAGGGGTATGCATGTAAGTGTGCAGCCATCAAAACTTCAAAATCAAGTTGTAACTTTTGGGGGGTCCATTGCAACTTTCAATGGCCGTTAGACTACCTATCATCCTTAACATGTGTCCCCCTCAACACAGTTCAGCAAGATATCTATTAAGACCATTTCCCTGTTTGGTAATTTGGACTACCAAACTGGGAATTGTACTATCCGGCTGCAGTACTGGCATGGATGAAAGAGTGGATTGTATTGAGGAATGTAAGATTATTGACCTTGGAAGGACATGATTTACAACTGGGGTGGCATGCATTTTTATGATATGGGAAAAATAAGATACATGGATATTTTCAGAGACACTATATAAGGAATGCATTATTATTGGTGTGGGAGAAAATTAAAGAACAATATTATTTGAGGATACCAGTTTGGCTTTCAACAATGGAATATTAATTCACCCAAATATTATTAATATGGGAAATATTGTCAGATATAAAGATATTTCAAATGAAGACTTAAAACGAAAGAAGAAATGAGTGAGCAAGGTGGTAGTCACATGTGCAGATACAGTCTAGATACAAGAAAGATGTTAAATTACAGGGTTTTTACAAAGAATTAAGAGAGTTAGATAAAATCTTAACAGGAACAGAAGAAAGGTTGATAAAGAAACTGTATAATTATTTATTGGGTATAAAATTGGAAGAGGAACAAGTAAAGGGACAATGATAGTATGGGCGAAAAACTTTAGTTATACGATAGAATTAGATAAATGGCAGAAATTGTGGGAAAGGAATTATAAATTAATAATGTCAACTACATATAAAGAGAATTTTTATAAGATGTTTTACAGATGGCATTTACCACCGGCGAGACTGGCAAAGATGTTAAATCAGCTGAAGGTTGGAAGTGTCACCAAATACCTGGATCTTATTATCATATGTGGTGGATATGTGGAGAAGCAAAGAAGTATTGGACAAAAATTAAGATATGGTTGGAAGAGATGATACAACAATGTATTGAGTTGAAACCAGAAATATTTCTGCTAGGAATTTTACCTGAAATTTATAATAAAATGTATATTTAATTATTCATGTATTAACCACAGCTAGAATTGTATTTGCACAATATTGGAAAAGTGGAGAGATTCCCATTGAAGAGAAGATGATAAGGAAAATATTAGAATGTGCAGAAATGAACAGATTAACATTAGCAATTAAGGAGAAAGAGCAAACTGAATTATTATATGATATGGGAAGTATTTTATCAATGGTTGGAGAATAAAAATGGAGTTTGGAAATGACGAAGACTAAAGAATAAATAGAAAATATATTAAGAGAAATATATAAATAAGATTAAAATTGTTAGTATGTGTATGAAGAGAATAATATTTAATGTTAATATGGTATTACTAGAAAATACTAAGAAGAAAATGGACAGTTTTACAATGTTTAAATGTTTAATGTATAATATTAAGCTTAGAGAAATAATGTGAATGTGAATGTGAAAAATGTAACAAATAAGAAATGATGTAGCAGAGATGTTTGTACCCAGATAACACACTGCATAAGGAAAGATGGAATGTTTACCTTTGTAACTAAAAAAAAAAATAAAAAATTAAAAAAAAAAATTAAAAAGGCGACTTCCCTATTTATGGCCCCTTTAAAAATAAGCTTAAAATTACAGAAGGCCTCTGTTAACAGAAGGGCAGTTTTGCACATCTATCTAGCCAGTGACTATTTGGCGCAAAGTTCAAACTTGCCAAAATCTGAACAGATTTGAGCTTTTTGCTCTTCTTCAGAAAATCTAATCTTAAAATGCTTTGAAAACAAGCACTGAAAAGCCATCGCTTGGATCAAAGCACTCCTTAAAAGTTGCTGCTAAAGAAGCACTTTTGAGGAACTCTGGAAATCATTAGCATCTTGTCGCTGGGAAGCTTTGGAATCACATCTGAACCACCATCCTCTTCGGTGTATGTGTGTATCTAGGATACGTATTTGTGTAAGAAGTGTTAAGATGGCAGCCACAACCATGAGATCAAAGCCTGGTCCTTTTTGCTTGCATAGTAAACGTTTGGGGAAAAAGGAGTAATTGCACAGTTGTGATGCCATCTTAAGTCTTCTTGAGTCTGGGGAAACCCCTCCTGCTGCTTTTCCTGGGAAGAAAAGGCCATCCTAGCTTGGATACAGATTGACTATTCACAGAATCCACGACAAGTTCTTGGGTACTCAGTGAGGGGCCTATTTGCAACTTATTCCACAGACAGTTTTTTTTTAAATTTTATTTTAAAAGCAAAACTTTATTAAACATATAAAAAGTAAAATGTTATACCATGTATGTACAAGATACATATATATTAATACAAACAACAATACATAAAAGGAAAAAGTGATTTTGGTCTCACGTCCATTATCTTATTAACGGTGCGTATTTGTTTATTATTATTGTACAGAATTTTACATTTACTCTCATTTCTATGAGTTATCCAATCATACCACCTATTCCACGCTATATAACATTTTGAGTCTACGTTCTTCATTTCAAATGTTAGTTTGTCCATTTCCACACAGTTATAGATTTTTTGGATTATCAATTGATCTGTTGGCAGTTGATCAGTTTTCCAATATTGGGCGAGCGCCAATCTAACTGCAGTGACTATGTGTAATATTAAGTACTTTATTTCTTTCCTATAGTTTTCTTTAATCATCCCTAGTAGAAAAATCTCTGGTTTGAGTTCTATTTTTTCCGATGTTATTTCTATTAGCCAAATTTTTATTTTTTCCCAATATTTCCTGATTTTTGGGCAAAGCCACCAGATGTGGAAGTACCCTGTGCCTGCTTGCACTTCCAACAGATTGGACTTAAATTTGAATACATTTTTGCTAATCTCGAGGGGGCCAAATACCATCTATACCACATTTTATATTGATTCTCTTTATAAACACTGACTTTGTTATTAGTATAGTTATTTTCCCACACTTTTTCCCAATTGTATATTATGCCCAATATTTCTTGCCCATGCTATCATTTGTCCCTTTACTAATTCCTCTGCTAAATCAAATTCCAATAGATATTTGTATACTTTTGAGATCAGTTATCTTATTCAGATTTACAAAAAAAAATAAAAAAATCCAATTTTACTGGAATTGTCTGAAATAAATAAAACAGCCTCAGTAAGACGTTCATCTTTATAGCTGCTATCCTCCCTAATAATGATAATTTCAGTTTCCCCCATTTTTCTAAATCCTCCTTTATTTGTTGAACTAAAGTTACATAATTATTCTCCTTTATAGTTGAGCATCTAGCTGTCAAATATATGCCTAAATACTTAACCTTTTTTGCTATTTGTAATCCTAATTCTTTAATTAACTCCTCTGTTTGTTTTCCTGTTACATTTTTCGTTAACATTTTGGTCTTATCTTTATTAATTTTTAAGCCAGCTACCTTTCCAAATTCCTCTTTTTCTCTTATCAATATTGGTCCTATTTTTATTGATTCTTCTATGAAGAATACAAAGTCATCCGCAAATGCTTGGGCCTTGTATTCCTCTTGTTTTACATTCAATCCTTTTATCTTTTTGTTTGATCTAATTCTTATCAATAAATTTTCCAATGTCAGAATGAAAAGCAAGGGTGAAAGTGGACATCCCTGCCGTACTCCTTTTTTTATTTCAAAGAAATTTGTAAAGTCTCCATTTACTATTATACTTGCTTTTTGTTTTGTGTATATGGAGGCTATTGTATTTTCAAATCTCTCCCCAAATTTCATGTTTTTTATTTGCTGAAGTATAAATTGCCAATTGACCTGATCAAAAGCCTTTCGGGCATCCAGAAAGATCAGAGCTACCTGCCTCTCTGGATGCACCTCATAATATTCTGATACATTAATTGCAGTTCTTCTATTATATTTTATTTGTCTCATTGGTAAAAACCCATTTTGGTCCGGGTGTATTCTACAATTTAATATTTTTTTCAACTTATTTGCCATTATATTCATAAAAAATTTATAATCAGTGTTTAATAAAGAGATTGATCTATAATTTTTTATCTGTGCTATATCTGCTCCTTCCTTTGCTATCAACGAAATGTATGCTTCTCTCCACAAATCTGGTAGCCTTGCCTCTATTAATGCCTCATTACAAGTTTCTAATAATATCCAATCCATCTCCTAGTCCTTTATAAAATTCACTTGGTAATCCATCTGTCCCTGAGGTTTTGTTATTTTTTTATTTCTTAATTGCCTTTCTTAACTCTTCTATAGTAATATCCCTATTTAATATCTCCTTTTCTTCCTCTATTAAGGCTGACATTCCCTCCCCATTTAGATATTGATCTATTTCCTCATCTGTCACTTTATCTTGCTCATAGAGTTCTTGAAAAAATTGACGTTATCTCCTTTTTCTTTTCTAAACTATATTGCATTTTACCTCTTTTATCCTGTAATTGCTGAATTGTTCTTTTCTCCCTTTCTTTTCTTAATCTATAAGCAAGCCATCTCCCTGGCTTATTCGAGTGTTCAAAATAATTCTGCTTTATAAATTTCAAGGCCTTTGCATAATTTTCCAATATGTTCAATTTATGTTTAGCTGCTATCCATTTACCTCTAATTTGTTCATCCCCAGGTTTATCTTGTAATTTTTCTTCCCAATTTTTGATCTCTTCCTGAACATTATTATATTCTTTTTCCCTTTCCTTTTATCGTTTTGCACT